CCATGGTTCCAATCCCCTCCATGCATCATCAACCATCTAGGTTCCCTCTTGAAAGCTTGTAAGCCAGTCACTTCTTGCCTTTGTAGCCTCCCACCCCCCATTTTGGGTAGCCAATGTCCAAGTTGCCCATCCCTGTGTACTCTGTGTGTGGCGGGGGTGGGAATGATTCTTGTTGTAAGAATTTGTTCCTTCTTTTGAGCTACTGCTTCCATAGGTGTAGGTCAAGTTTAGCAAATTGCATCAGATTACTCTTTTTCCTCTTCTTCTGGTTGAGCTCCGATCATCCAGTCATTGAAGCCAGGTCAATTGGGTATTATCTGCAAGTGTGGGTGTTCTTGTGCATATGGCCTCTCTTTTTATCAGCTGAACACGACACTCTCCATATTGTAGGGCTTAGCTCATCACTTCATTGTTGCTCTTTCCTCACTTCCCCTTATCGGTGACGAGCATGGTCACCAATCAGAGCATTTATTTCCATTGAGTCTTAGTCTTGAAAGGGGGTTTGCACTGAGGGGACCCGACCACTTGCCTTTATGTTTCCTGGGCAAGCAACTTGTTTGTTCTTGTAGTAACAGTCCATCTGCCTCTATTGTTTTGTATTTTTCCTATAGGTCTTTCTTTCAAGAAGTATCTTCTATTCTTCTAGGCATTTCAGGCTGGTCTGCTTGTCCTTTCAAGTGGAAATTTCGCATCTCTGGAGATCTGGATGTGGTTCAGGCTTCTACCTATAGTCTTATGTATTGCAGAGGCTCCGCAGGAAGCCTCCTTCACTGGGCACGTTGTAGCCCCATTTTAGGTATTACATACAATCAATTATAGGCAGAAGACGGACTTATAAGCTTTCTATGGTGTTGTTTCTGACTATTCCTTTCTCTCCCCCTCCAGTGTCTATTTTATATTATAATGCAAGGAATACCAAGATTAAAAAGACAGCCAATCATCTTAACATTATTCCCCCCCTTTCCCCATTCCAACCATGTCTCAATTTCTGTATCCCAGAGCCCTGTAGTTCCAAGGTTGTGTATCCATCATTCTTTACCTCTGTCCCACTTAGCCCATTCAAACCTGCCTAATTGTTCTCCCATCTGCTTTGTTCTTCCATTCCCCTCTCCCTTCTTGTATATTGCCCCCTCCCCAGCACCCAGACTTCCGTGTGTCTAATCCCTGCCCTGTGCTCCACCTTCCCTTCCCTCCCCTCACCCACCCCCAACTTACCAGCGATCAACAAAGAATTTCCCCCACCCCCCCTTTAGTTTGGGTTCTTTTCCTTAGTCTTTTACAGTAGTGGTCCTATGCAGTATTTCTCTTTTTGTGACTGACTAATTTCACTCAACATAATGTCCTCAAGGTTCATCCATGTTATGCGGTGGTTTGCTGCTTTCTTGTTATTCTTCAAGGTAGCATAGTATTCCATTGTGTGTATGTACCACAGTTTGTTTATCCATTCTTCAGTTAATGGGCACTTTGGCTGTCTCCATCTTTTTGCTATTGTAAACAGTGCTGCTATGAACATTGGTGTGCATATACCTACTCGTGTTATGGCTCGTATTTCTTGTGCGTAAATACCAAATACAGGAATTGCTGGATCATAAGGTATTTCTATTTTCAACCTTCTGAGGAAACGCCATATTGCTTTCCAGAGAGGTTGGACCATTTTGCAGTCCCACTAGCAATGCAGGAGTGTTTCAGGGCTTCTTTTACTGAGCCTACAATCTAAGTAAAAATGGTGTTCTTGTTGTGTCAATGCAGTTGTGATTCTTGCTTCTAAATGCATTGCTACCCCTAAGGTCTTCCTTGAACTCCTGGTGTGGCGCTGTAGGATAAGCACTGGACAGCTAACCAAAAGGTCAGTAGTTCAAACTCACCAACTGCTCCTCAGAAACCCTATATAGGATCACTATAAGTCAGAACCGACTCAGCAGCTCTTAACAAGGTCCTCCTAGGTAGATAACTTTGGAGCCCTTGTAGTGAAACTTCATAAGATTTATAAGTAGGGAATTTTTTTTTAGAAGACCTGGTCCCAGGCCAGGGGAAAATGCCAGTCCACAAGAAAGGATCTTTGAGGAAGGTTGTACCCAAGAGTTGAGTGGTAGGGGTAAGCAGGAGGAGCAAAAGGGCAGATGGCCTGGGACCCCACTTGAGATGGTTTGTTGTTTTTGTTAAATACCATCGAGTCAGAGATGGTTTAGACGGTTTGGTGGTGGTGGTTGGTGGTTATGTGCCATGGAGTCAGTTCTGACTCATAGAGACCCTGTTCAGAGTTTCCTAGGCTGTAAATCTTTATGGGAGCAGAAAACCTCATCTTTTCCCATGTAACAGCTGCTAGTTTTGAACTGCTGACCTTAAGGTTCACAGCCCAATTATGGTTAAGACATATTTAATTTCCCCTTCTCTTCCTCAACCCCTCACTAGCAATAACGTCACATTCTTCCTGATGGCAACTAGATTCTAACACCAGCCTGCCTGTGCTACCACCATCATTCATCCCATGCCGCCATCTTACAATTAACCCAGTGTCTACCAACCATGCAAAGTCCCTCTTTCCCAGACTTCCTGATTCCCCCATCCAGTCCCTGTTTCCCCCATTTCCTCTGCTTCTAGCCCTCTTTGACCCTTTTCTCCTTCATCATAGGTCATCTTGTGTTGGATCTGGCCCAGGCCCGGTCCACTCTGGTGCTGCCCACAGGCCTCATCGCTGCGGCTGGCACCATGACAGTGACCCTACGCAGCAGCCGGGAGCTGCCCTCAAGGCCTGACGGGGTGCTGCGTGTGGCCCTGCCCTCTGTGCTCACCCCGCTGGCCCCTCCAGGCTTGCCAGGGCCCCCCAGGTCTCCCGGGCTCTGTGACGACAGGTTGGGCCTATGGTGATTCTCTTCATCCCTCCTTCGGCTTCTCTGGGTCTAGTGTGGGTGAGGGGGCCCTGGCAGGATGTCTGGGGATGGGCAGCATGGGGAGGGGGGTGTGGTCAGTCAGCCAGAGGGTCACAGGACCTTTGTAGTGGTTCAGTGACTCTCTTCATGCTCCATTGCAGTCCCACCAGCTGCTTCGGGGTAGGTAGCCCTCAGGAGGACAGGCTGGCCTGGGAGCAGTCGGTTGCCCCTCAAGACGTGTTCTCTGGCCCAGCCCGCTGCCCTGCCCCATACACCTTCTCCTTTGAGATGCTGGTGACTGGGCCATGCCTGCTGGCAGGTGGGTGTGTCTGAGAGCATGTGGTCACTTCTACATAACACACATCCTCTTAAGTTTACCATTTAACGTATTTCTACCCTACCCTGGCCACCAATGGGAAGAGAGAAGCTTACAACAAGATCAGTCCAAGTGATGAAGTGAATTATCCTACCGTAAAAGGGGAGGGTGGGAGGATGTTATATCTGCAATTGGTTGATGTGTGGAATAAAGCTGGGCATCCTTCTCCCAGCCCAAGAAAGCAAATTCCTTGTCCATGTGACCCTATAGGTCAGGGTCCAAGAACTGAATTGATTTAGCCATGGTCCCTGCTGTTTGAGCTATTTGGGAAGACAGTGTTTGTGCTCTTAGGACTGGTTTGGGGTAGGGGTGACCATCACCTCTCGCTCCTTCTATGTCCATCAGGCCTGGAGAGTCCCTCTCATGCCCTGAGGGTGGATGCCTCCCCTAACGCCAGCTCTGCCACCACTGTCTGTGTCACTCTGGCAGAAGGCCACTGCTGTGACCGGACCCTGGAGATCCTGCTCCACCCCAGTGGTGAGGGACTGAGCCACACAATGGGCCAACTTTGACCTGCTTCAGGACCACTTGGGTATCATTTTCCAAGTACAGGTGTCTGAGGCCCAAAATAGACATAATCATCTCTAAGGGTGGGCCTTGTGTGCAGAGAAGCTAGACCTGCAGGGTCCTTCCTGGACAGTGGGATTGGGCAGCGGGGTCCTGAGACAAGACTTCCCTGGTGGAACTGTACCCCTCCCATCTCCAGAACCCCACCAGCCTCACCTGATGCTGGAGGCAGGCAGCCTGAGCTATGCAGAGTATGAAGCTCGCATGAGGGCCCGTCGGGACTTCCAGCGGCTACAGCGAAGGGACAGTGATGGGGACCGGCAGGTATGCCTACAGGGGTCCTGGCTAGCCTCTGGCCTCACTGTTGGTCACATTTGTGTATAAGAAACTGGCAAGCAGTGTGGGGAGCCTCTGCTCTCACTGCTGCCCCACCCCATCCCAGAGAGCTGATGAGTATTGTTATAGTAAGGCCCACACAAGTCTCCCTGGTATGTATCTGAGAGGATAGGACTGGGTTTGACATAGGCAGAGGATAGCCACTTACTTCTGCCCTGTGTTTATCCAAATTTACAAAAGGGTGGCCCTGCTGAGTGGTTAGGTAGAAAAAGGTTTCAAAACCGGTCCTGCTGCTGACTGGTCAGAGTTGCACTGAGCCTGGTCCAAGATGATTCTGGGCTCCCATGTTCAGGTATGGTTCCTGCAGCGACGCTTCCACAAGGACATCCTGCTGAACCCAGTGCTGATGCTGAGCTTCTGCCCAGACCTGAGCTCCAAGCCTGGACACATGGGCACGGCAACGCGGGAGCTCCTCTTCTTGTTGGATGGCAGCAGCGCCGCATACAAGGCACATGGGACATGGCATGGGCAGGCCTGGGAGTTTTGTGGGGCAGCCTCTCCAAGCCAGGAATTGTCCTGTTGCTGAACACACCATTTTCCAAAGAGGAAACAGACAGTAACTCCTCAGGGGAATTCCCTTAAGAGAAGCCCCAACCCCCCAAATTAGCACATATATACAGTTTCCTACCTCTCTCATACCCACAGTCTCAAGCGAACATGGAGTCTTTCCCAGATGCTAAGAGCCTCCCTCATACACTGGGTCACATACTCAGTCACACACCCAGTTACAGAGACTCAAGTTCTACATACACATGCAGAGTCTCACACATGCCTGAATCACACACACAGACACAGGGTCACATTCACCAAAGTCTCTCACCCAGTCAGAGACTTTTATACACTCCCGGAGTCTCTCTCCTCGCACACCCCGAGTCTTGCCTTCATATCTGAGTCTCCCAAGTCTCTCTCATACACCACCAGTTCCTCACACACCTAGGCTCTCCCTCACATATAGTCTTTCTCATACAAAGTCTCTCCCCGATTACCTCACCCAACTCACATTTCATACATGAAACCAAGGCCTGGGAAGTCCACGCAATCTGTGGCCCCTTGGTCTCCACCAGTCTTCCAGGTTATGCCCAATGAGCTTGTCTCACATTGTCCTCCCGGCCCTTCCCAGGATGCCATTGTTTTGGCGGTGAAGTCTCTTCCGCCTCAGACGCTCATCAACTTGGCCACATTTGGCATGTCCGTGCAGCCTCTCTTCCCAGAGAGCCGACCTTGCAGTGATGTGAGTGTGGTCCAAGGATTTAGGGGCCTAATGGAGATGTATCTGCTCAGCACCATGGCAGCCTATGGCTTTCCATTCCAGGACACTGTGCAGCTGATCTGTGAGAGCATTGAGGGCCTGCAGGCTATGGACAGATCCCCAGACATGCTGGCTGTGCTGGACTGGGCCATGGGGCAGCCCCAACAGAGGGGCCACCCTCGGCAGCTGTTCCTGCTCACAGGGGCCTCTGCCTCAGCTGCCACTACCCATCAAACCCTGGAGTTCATACGCTGGCACAGGGGGACAGCCAGGTATGGGGTCAGTCAGTAGAGCTGGGTACCCAAGACTGGCCCCCACCCAAGCAGCTCCTGGAGGTCACTGCTGCCACCCTTCCCTTGGCAGGTGCTTCTCCTTTGGGCTGGGCTCCACCTGCTACCAGCTGCTCCAGGGTTTGTCTACACTCAGCCGAGGCCAGGCCTACTTCCTGAGCCCTGGAGAGAGGCTGCAGCCCATGGTGAGTTTGAACCCGGACCCTATTCCCTCCCCCTGGAAGTTCTCCCAAGCTACATATGGAATTTGAAATCGAACCCTGTCTGGCAACAGGGTCTCTTGACACCCATGCTTATTTCAGTCCTTCCTCTCCCCTGAGATACCAGTCAGGGGAGGAACTGCTGGTGCTAGTAGGGGTGCTACAGAGGCCAAAGGTGTTGATCTTAATAGCGGTTTTGCCCCCGAACCAAGCCATACTCAAATAGCAAGGCTCAGCCCAGCAGAGACCAAGTCTAAAAATCCAGTCCTGTCTTTTTGCTGTTCCTATCGCCATTCCTTCCCTGACTTCAGCCTGACACTGTGCCCCATTCACCCAGGGACTGGGCAGGTGCCATCAGGGGAAGGTGGCCTTCCCACTCTGTCTGCTGTGTGATACCGCTTTCTCTCCCGTGTCCCATCTTGACTACTCTCCACAGCTGGTGCAGGCTTTGCGGAAGGCCCTGGAGCCTGCTTTGAGTGACATCTCTGTGGACTGGTTTGTGCCTGATGCTGTGGAGGCGCTACTGACACCCCGGGAAATCCCAGCACTCTACCCTGGGGACCGACTGCTCGGTTACTGCTCACTTTTCAGGGTGGATGGCTTCCGACCCCACCCGCCTGGGGTAGGCCTGGGATGGCTGAAGCCCCTGCATCTCTTCAAAAGCCTTCTTCCATTCCTGTGCCTCTCTCTGACAAGCTCCCCCTACCATTCCCTAAGCCTCCCCAGAGATCATGCTGGGCCCCCAAGGTAGTCCCTCATGGGTCTTCCACTGAGTTGTCCTGTAAAGTGCGGCGACCTTTGGCATTTATCAAAGGTGACTATGCCAAAGGCACTACAGAACTGAGCCCACTGGCACTACAGAACCACTGGGAACTACAACCACAGGAAACAGCTGTTAGGTTTTTGTCAAAACTGTTGCTCATTACGTCATACAGTGTCCTAGAGAAAGCCCATCTAACATATGTCCTGTAAGGTTCAGTGATAGAACGTGGCATAGATGAAATCTGAAACCCTAACTCTTTCACTTTGGGGAAATCACTTAACCTCATCTGTACATATTTCCCCCCATTGTTGTTAAGTGCCACTGAGTTGGTTCTGACCCACAGCAACCCTGTAGAGGGTTTCCAAAAAGTGGCTGGTGGGTTTGAACTGCTGATTTTGCAGTTCAAACCGACCTTGTGGTCCAGTGCATTATCCTGCAGTGCCACACCCACCAGGACTCCTTTTCCCTGATAGGATTATTGTAATTAGAGGTCCTAACATGAGCCCTTTTGGTAGGGCACTTGACATATAGTAGAAGCTTGTTGAATGGTAGTTATTTCTAATTATGAAAGGTTTTATTTCTCTAGAAGAATTAAGCATGCATCATTCTTCTTTTGATTGCTGTTGTTACGTGCCATTGAGTCGACTCCAAATCATAGCAACCCTGTGTAGGGTTTCCGAGGAGCAGCTGGTGGGTTTGAACTGCCAAACATGTGGTTAGCAGTTTAGTGCTTATCCTACAACACCACACAAGGAATTCCCTTTTGGATTAGGAGAGTTTATATAGCAGCCCAGGTTTCACTCACTGGCTGCTAGGAAGCTGACAGCCAAACTTGAAGTTCAGCTAGAACAGCTCTTTTAAGCCTTAGGGTTTGTGTGTTTGCTTTCTTCTCCCTTAGTTCTGGTCTTTGGTTTCTGGTTTATTAACTATATTGCTCCTTGCTGTGAGCCATCTTAAATCCACTTTGGAAAGGGACAGTGTATATGTACAATCATATTTTTTTCAACAACTGTTCTCTCCCTAGGGCCAAGAGCCCGGCTGGCAGAGCTTGGGTGGCTCCGTGTTCCCATCCCCAGAGGAGATGCCATCTGCCACCAGCCCTGGCACTGAGCCCACTGGCACTACAGAACCACTGGGAACAGGCAATGTGTCAGCAGAGCCGTCCAGCCCATGGGCTGCTGGGGACTCCGAGCAGAGTGAGTGTCCGGGTGTACTTGTGGGGCTGTGTACTTGGAGGAAGAGTAGGTGGTGGATGAGCCATGACAGGGGTCCATTCTCCTGCCTCCCACCAGGTACTGATGCTCTGACAGACCCAGCCACAGACCCGGAACCCAACCCATCCTCTGATACAGCCATATGGCGCCGCATCTTCCAGTCCTCATACATCCGGGAGCAGTATGTGCTCACCCACTGCTCTGCCAGCCCTGAGCCAGGCCTGGGCTCCACTGGTAGCAGCGAGCCCCCCGGCTCCCAGGGGCCTAGCTCCCCAGAGGGAAGTGTTCCTCCAGATCCCCCTTCTCAGCAGGGTTGCCGCAGCCTGGCCTGGGTAGAACCTGCAGGTACCCGTTCCTGCCCCCTACCTGCACCCCCAGCAGCTTCACTCAAGGTGAGTTTCAGCAGCACTTGGTAACTAATGGAAAGGTCAATAGTTTGAACTCAGCAGCATCCTTGGAGGAGAAAAGATCTGGCCATCTGCTCCGTAAAGATTACAATTCAGGAAAACCTATGGGGCAGTCTGTCATGAAGGATCATTGAGTTGGAATCCACTTGACAGTACACACAAAATATGCCAGATGTTATGCAGTTGCTACCATTAAATCTGGAGTCCTGGTGTGGCACTGTTGGATAAGCACTGGACTGCTAACCACAAGGTCACCAGTTCAAATCCACCATCCACTCCTCAGAAACACTATGCAGGGTAGCTATGAGTCGGAACTGACTTGACGGCACTTAACATTAAGTCTAGCTGGAGTAACAGATGGGCAAATCTCTGTGGCATCGAGTGATGAGCACAAGAGCATGGTGTTATGGGGGCTGAGTCAGGGTGGTTAGCCCTGTTTGAGGAAGTCAGGAAAAGCCTCTTGGAAAACGTGGAACTTAGAGCCATGTTTGGAAGAGTAAGTAAAAGTTAGCCAGACTAAGGAAAAGATATGAACAAAAACACAGACTGGTAACAACCTCCAGTGAAATGGGAAGTGGATTGAGACAACTCTGTAGAGGGGACTAAGGACCAGAGGTTCTTATAGACTGTAAGGAGCTTAGTCTTCCACCTGAGTGGTGAACAGCCTTCCAGGAGTTCAGGGAGAGGGACATGTGATCAAGTGTATATATATCTGAAGAACAAAAGTGCTGAATTCCTTGACCAGTGGCCCCCACTTCCTGCTTGCAGTCTGGAGCCTTGAGTGCTGAGGCACTAGGCCATCAGCGCAGAGCAGTTCTGACAGGCCGAAGCCTCTCATCTCCCCCAGGCCAGGCCAACCCAGCCCCTGGCCTGTCCTGGCACCCCTCTCTGGGTACAGCATCAGATGGGCCAGGCCCTGAGGCAGGGCAGCAGCTGGGACAGGGCCTGGATGATTCAGGTAAGGGTCAGTGAGAAATTGAGCTTCTTGACACCAAGATGGCCTTGGGGAGGTGGAGTTCAGGGCATTACACTATTCATATCCCTGATGTCCTCTCTTCCCAGGAAACCTCCTCTCTCCAGCCCCTATGGACTGGGACATGTTGATGGAACCACCTTTCTTGTTCACGGCTATGCCTCCCAATGGGGAGTTGGTCCCTCCAGTAGTGCCAGGGTCTCCCCAGACTCCACGCTGCCATGTGGTGATCCGGGGTCTATGCAATGAGCAGCCTATGTGCTGGGAGGTAGATGTGGGGCTGGAGGCATTGTGGGGTTCTGGGGATAGATCACAGCCTTCTTCATCCTCTGAAAGAGAAACTGCTTGGGACCAAGCACTCCACCGGATGACAGCAGCCTCTGTGATACAGGACAATGAGCAACTGGCTTTCCGAGGAGGGATTGAAATTACAGCTGACCGCGGTGAGTTGCTGGTGGATGCAATCAAGGCTTAGGAGCCTCCATGGAGCAGAGAATGCCAAAAGGATGAGTCAGTGTGCTTGATCACCCTCTATACCTCACCTTGCTCAGAAAGGATTTGAAGTGGCTCACCCACATTGACAAGATCAAAAATTAAGCAATGGGAAAAGGGAAAATAAGAGGAAGCTAGAAATTAGGTTATATTAAAGATGCACACCATGAGGTTATGTATCCTTGCTATGCGTGGGACCCAAAATTGGAAAGCCTCCTAGCAGCAGACACAGAGGGAAACATGATCTTGTAATGATTCACAGTGCCCATAACATAAAAAACAAATCTGTTCTTCAGGAAGACTATTAAAATCAAACAAAGTTGAAAATTCAGTTTTTCAATCACACTAGCCATATTCAAAGTGCTCAACAAACAGACCCATGACTAGTGGCTACCATATTCGATAGCATAGTTCTAGAACATTTACTAGAAAATTCTATTGGACGGTGTAGAAATGGGTGAACAGAAAAGCCACCATAGTCGATGCTTTCTCTGAGTAAGGTCCAGATTATTGAATGAATGGGTGGTAAGGGATGGGGAAGCTGCTGTGGGTTGGGAGTTCTACCTGGCCACTGCTTGTCAAAGTTGTTGAGTCTGAGCTGGTTCTGAGCCTGAGAAGTATCCAACTCCATTCAAAGGACTGGAGAGCTGTGGAGGGCTGATTTTCTTCTCAGAAGCCCTCTGAGAGGGTAGGCAGTGGAGTGCTCCCCTGTTGTTCAGCAGGTTGCTCCTTGGTTTCCCAGGCTCTGCCAGGAGGTCGTGGCTCCGAGCCCTTCAGACAAGCAAAGTCAGCTCTGCCCTGTCCTGCTTTACCTGCCCTGTAGCTGTGGATGCTACCACAAGGGAAGTCTTGCCTGGAGCCCTGCAGGTGTGCAGTTCAGGTAGGATCTGTCTTCTGGTGACCTCAGACTGGGTCCTTGCCTAACAAGCCTGATCCCTTGCCTCCTGTGTCCCAGCAGAGCCAGCCCAGCTCCCAGTCACCCCTCCTGCTTCTCAGGGCTCTCGAGATGCAGCTCCTCTGCCCAAAGTTGCCCACTCCAAAGGTAACACCTGAACTTGGGAAAAGAATAGGGCAACCAGTATGAGACATCTACTGGCACTAATTGGCCCTACTGTAGGATTTCAGGCAGTCTCTTGGACCGGTGCCTGGGATCTAGACAAAAGTGCTGACTCCAAATCCGAGGTGGGTGACCCTGCAACCCCCATTGTTGGTCCTCACTGCCCGCGCCCCCAGCCTCCCTCTAGGCTCAACCTGGGCCGGCGGAAGGCCAAGGGTTTCAACAGTCTCAGACTCTGTAGCCCAGACAAGGGCCACGCAGGGGACGCCAACCCCGAAGGCAGCGACCATGACTACCTGCCCCTGGTGAGGACTCGGGAGGTGGAGGGTGGCGTCGCCAGAGCCAGGGCACTATCTTAGCTCGCTTCTCCCCCCACCTCCTCTCTCCTCAGGTGCGGCTGCAGGAGGCTGTTGGCTCCTTCCGCCTGGACGGGCCCTTTTTTGCAGCAGTGCGCATCCCAAAAGAGCGCCTGTGCCGCGCCTCCCCTTTCGCAGTGCACCGTGCTAGCCTCAGCCCCACCTCGGCCTTGTCTCCCTGGGCCCTTCTGGGTCCTGGCGTTGGTCAGGGCGACAGTGCCACAGCTTCCTGTAGCCCTTCCCCCAGCTCGGGTTCCGAGGGCCCAGGCCAAGTAGACAGCGGACGGGGCTCAGACACAGAGGCCTCAGAGGGGGCGGAAGGGCCGGGCCGCGCCGATCTGCGAGATCGGAGCTGGGCCACCGCTGTGGCCCTTGCATGGCTGGAGCACCGCTGCGCGGCCGCCTTCAATGAGTGGGAGCTGACTGCGGCCAAGGCGGATTGCTGGCTTCGGGCCCAGCACCTGCCTGATGGCCTCGACCTGCCAGCCCTCAAGGCGGCAGCCCGTGGGCTCTTCCTGCTGCTTCGCCACTGGGACCAGAACCTACGGCTGCACTTGCTTTGCTACAACCCGTCCAACGTATGAAGGTCCCCTGAAGTCTGATCTCAACGGGCGTCCCCAACAAACTCACTTCACTGCCACCCAGGTCCTGTTCCTTGGTGCTGGGAAGGGGTAGTTCAGTGTGGTCTGCCCTACACTGCTTTCTCACTCCCTTCCCAGAATCTTCTCCCACCACAGAAAGTGCCTGCCAGTGCTCTCTCCTGCTTCTCCAGTCCCCCTTCCCCTCCAGCTCCACTTAGTGCAATGGAAGGGGAGAGAGCCAGTCCCCAGATCCTATGCAATAAAGTGCCTCTTAGGGTTGCCTGAGTGAGTTTTTTATCTGGCCAGTGCATGCCCCTAACACAATGGTCCTGGCACCAGCTGCCCATCCCTCTGGGTAGGCTGCACAGAGATGGGCTTGGCAAGGTTTATTGGAAGGGCACCAAGTCCAGTCCCACCCAGGGTCCTCAGTGGACTGAAGGTGACAGGGAGGATTTCAGTGGGCTTTCTTGCTGCGCTGAACGTTCTTGGGGAAAGGCTGGGGCCCCAGCCAGAGCTGCAACAGGATGACAGCATGGCAGGTATGCAGGGCAGCAGAGCTGCAGGATGTGGATGGGTAGGTATTCCAGGAGAGCTCAATGAGCCCCAGCACCAGCAACCTGGGGATGAGAAGCAGGGTCTAGGCTTTGTCCAGTTCCTGGGGCTATAGCCCTTTGGCTCCTCACAGACATAGCCCCCCACCCACTCCACATCTCAAACTTGAAGAAACCCCTAGCCTTTCCCACTCCCCCATGTTGGCCCAGCCATACCTGAGCAGGTGTGTGAGCCAGCGTGCAGGCATGGCCCACAGGAGGTAGGGCAGTGTGTGGAAATACCAGACGTAGAACTGATAGTGGAGGGAGCGGCTAAAGCAGATGCCAATGAAGTTGGAGGTGAAGAGTGTATAAACGATCTGTATGTAGTGGTCAAGGCCAGTGGCAGGGACAGAAGAGATGGGGTGGGGTAGTCCCAAAGCAGAGGGCTAGAAGTTTGGGAGTTGGAATAGCCCCTTGGCTCTGCCCTTCCTAGCTGTATATCTTTAGGCAAGTTTCCTCACCTCTCTGGACCTGTTCCTCAACCTAATAAGATCCTCAACCTAATAAGAGAAAGTTATACCTAGTGTAACTGCCAAGGGAGTCTTAATCTGTCACTTACTAGCTGTGTGACCATAACAAGTTATTTAACCTCTTAAACAATTTTGCCATAAGTGAGCTAGGATAATAAGAACACATGTCTATCTCAGAGTCTCAAATATTAGAATGTATATACCACAAAGGAGTCTTAGTGTGGCGCTGTGGGATAATGCACTGGACCGCAAGGTCAACAGTTCAAATTCACCAGCTGCTCCATGGAAAGGGTGGCTATGAGTGGGAACCGATTGGAAGGCACTTGACAACAATAACACATACAATGAAATATTACTACGGCATAAAGAGAAATGAAGTCCTGATGTACACTACAACATGGATGAGCCATGAAAACATGCTGGGTGAAATGTCAGTAACAAAAGGACAAACAGTGTATGAGCCCATTTACATGGACTATCTAGACTAAGCAAGTGCATACACACCAGAGTTTATCAGTGGTTACCAGGGGCAGACTGGAGGGTACGGGACAGAAACTCAATGCTTAGGGACCACTGAGCTTCTGTTAAGGGTGATGCTATAATTTGGAAACAGATTAAGAGTGATGGGTGAACAACATGATGAACGTAATTCTCACTGAGCTGTACATGTAAAGATTGTTGAAATGGCTCACTCTTAGGAAAATACCTGGCAGAAGGTGAGCATTAGCTTGGGAGTCCTGGTGTAGCGCTGTAGGATAAGCCCTGGACTGCAAGGTTGGTTTGAACCGCAAGGTCAGCAGTTCAACTCACCAGCCGCTCCTCATAAACTCTACGCAGGGTTGTTATGAACCAACTCGATGGCACTTAGTAACAACAACAGTGGAATATTTAGGATTAAGAATAAAATAGGCTTAAATATGGAACTCACTCAGCACATTGTTTGGTACAGAGAAGGAGCTCTAGGAGCCCTGGAGCTATTACCATTTGGGGCTAACAAACGAGGACTCAAGGAGCTCTGGTAGCGTAGTGGTTACGAATCAGCCTCAAGGTCAGCATTTTGAAACTACCAGCTGTTACGCAGGACGAAGATGAGGCTTTCTGCTCCCGTAAAGATTTACAGCCTCGGAATAGGGTCACTATGAGTCAGAACCGACTCCACGGCACATAACAACCAGGACCCAGTCTCTGCACCAGCAGAGGGCAAAGCTTACCTTCCCACAAGATAAAGGATATGATTGGGTGTGAGTGGCTGGGGTGGAACCTTCCTTTTGGAGGGATCCTTCAGCAGCGACATGATACTTTCCCCTGTCCTGAGGAGAAACTATTTAGATACTTACCAAGCCCCCACGATACGCCAAGTTCTAGACTCAACATCTCCCCTAAGCAGTCCCTGAGGTTTAGACCTTCTTTCCTTCCCCACAAATCTGCCCATGACCCTTTTGTACCTGTGCCACCTGCAGAGGGCAAAGAGCAAGAGTAGGGTGAGGTGAGCTGCCAACAGGCCAAGGTGGAAGGCTCGATGTAGGAAGACGGCCTCAGGAAGGAAGCGCCAATTCACTGTCCAACGGAAGAGAAACTGACGGCCAAGGTCAAAGGAGCGGGATAAATAGCCGACAGGGTTCTCCAACAGGAAGGGCAGCCCGAGTACCACCTGAGGGTGAGTGTGATGTCAGGAGAGCTCAGAGGTTCTCTAATGCCCACCAGGAATCGAAGGACAGTCCACCTCACCCCCACCCCCCAGGCCACAGTCTGGGTCTAAAGAAGTTGCAGAGGCAGGTCATAACCATGTTTTATGTTTGAACTCACCAAGCCATATGTGGACAAAACTAGAAGGGCCCTCAGAGGTCATCTAGTTCAACACCCTCATTTTACCACTAAGCCCAGAGGTAGTAGTTGCTCAGCCCAGAATCAACTCCCAAACTCCCTGCCTCTTGGCATGGGATACAGGAAGGAAGCCAGGCAGAGTGGCCTTCCCTTCATTAGAAAGAGGACGGGACAAGGTGGGGGTACCTGAAGGACAGCACAGATGCCCAGCTTGGGTAGGGCCCTACGGAGGCCAAATTGCATGAGGAGAAGAAACAGTAATCCAGGAGCGAAGAGGAGTACATTCATCTTCACTGAGACCGCCAGGCTGGGATGGACAGGGAAGAGGAGGGAGGGACATCAGTTCCAGGTTCTGTTCATCCTTCCAAAAATGCCACCCCCATTGCCAAAGCAACCACCCCTATTGCCAGCAAGTTCAAGTTTGGGGCTTATACTCAGAACAGTCTGGGCGGAACAGTGGAGGGTCAGATGCCTGATCTCTCTATGCCCAGACTGAGCAAGCATATATTGAGTATTTAGAATATGCAAAGCCCATCTCCAACAATGGATGCTGTCGGGAGGTCAGAAAGAGGGTATGCATGTGTGCTAGAGGGGCTTCCTACAGATCCTGACCGACCACCATTGGCCACTGCCTGTCTGCTGCAGAAAACTGGGGGGATAGAAACAAAGAAAGGGGAGGTGGGGGGCAGAAGGCAGGGGTTATGACCTGAAACAGCAGCAGCCCCAGCCCCACCGCTGGGCCAGCAGGAGGTTGATACTGAGGAAGAGCAGCACCATAGCCACAGGGTCATTGAACAACCGCAGTACGAATATGGAGTGAACACGGTAAGAGGCGCAACACATGAAGAAAAACACGAAGGGAGGTACCTGAGGGGTAGGCACAGTGGGGAACAAGGTCAGCTCATCAGACCCAAGCCATCTACACTCCCTGGCCCTCCCAGGTTTGGGCCCCCTGGCCTCTGGTGTATTGGGCTCACTTTGCAGGTCTGGTGATAGATCCAGAAGACAAGCAGCAAGGTGACCAAGTAGAGCACAGCAAAGATGTGCTGAGCCACACGGATATTAGTGCCCCGGCCAGTGGCATAGTATAGCCCCATAAAGATGTACACAAAGCCAGCTGGGTACCTGGAAGATGAGAAGTATCATGAGCGGAGGCCAGGTCACCCAGCCCAGACCCTACTCAGTCTCTCCTATTCACACTCACACAAGAGGTCCAGTGTCTCCCTGCAGTTGTGTGTAGTCATAGGTACCGTTGATGACACCCTCCACCTCAGCCATGTAGGCCTTCCAGTCGATCTCTGTGTCTGGAAGTGGACAGGATGTTGTGGTTAACGTGAAACCCAGCATTTGACTGTCCTCACACCTCCAGCCCATCAAAGCAGAGTTCCAGATCATTCTCAGGACCTCCATTGCAATCCCCTTGTTAGTGACTCTCTTGTCTGTATCCTCAACCCAGTTCTCTGCAGTGAGTTCCTAATAGCACATACAACTCTCTGAAACCTCTCTCTGGGTAACACCAGGCATCTCAAACTCACTATGTCTATAACTGAACTCATGATCTTCCCTACCAAATCTGCTCCCCTTCCTGAGTCCCATGCATCACACCATCAACCACCCCCCTGTCTAGCTCACAAACCAGGGTATTATCAAATATCTTTGATATTTCCTTGTTTTCCATTCCCATTCACCAAGTTCTACTGATTCTTTTTCTTTCTTCACAGTCTCACAGTTTTCTGGCAGTTGTTATTTCTGTTAAGTTGCCAGCAAGTCAGTTCTGACTCAACAAATCTGAATAGCTATAGCTGGTGGATTTAAACCACCGACCTTGTGGTTACCAGGCCAGTACTTTTCCTATAGTGCCACACCAGGTACTACATATTCAAACTCAGGCCTAACATGATTGCTAGCCTCCAAAGTAATAGCCTCTCAAATAAGTTCCTAGCTTCCACTTTCATCCCACAACACTACAATTTATGTTACATCCTGTAGCCAGATGCTTTTCCTAAAACACAATTCATATCATGTCTATCTACTTAAACCCTTCAATAATCCCCTGAGGCTCTTAAGATAAACACTTATCCTATTTTTAGGGTAGAACCTAAAAGTTAATTGTTTGTGTGATTAACTCAAGATCATTGATAAGAGTTGCAACTGGAACTTAGAAGGTCCCAAGTTCTCACCACCATACTAACAAACTCTTCAACAAGACATTAAAAACCCCTTCATGACTGGGCCCCAACTTCTACAACTAATTTCTCACTACCACCTTCACTTGACTTTTATGCTCCAGCCCTAAAATATAGCTCCTCAAAGGAACAAGTTTCTCTCTTTTTGACTGTTGTTTTTTTGTTGTTTTTTTAAATGAATCCTCTGACTAGATCAATCTTCTCCTTTGTTTTTCCTCAACTGATTAGTTCCTACCTTTCAAGGATAGTGGTGGAGGGGATGGGAAGCTTCCCCTGACTCCTCTGGTCTGACTAAACTGCCCCTCCTATGTCCTTTGTAGCATTCAGTCTTTCCACTCTCACGAGGAATATGATGCATTATAATTGCCTAGAATTCAAGGTGGAAACACATCTATTTTATTCACCACTGTATCATTAGCATCTTTGTTGTTGTTAAGTGCTGTCAAGTTCCTTCTGACTCATAGCAACCTTGTATGTGGCTTTGGAGGCTTTCAATCTTTGCAGGAATAGGGCCTCATCATTCTCCCATGCACTAGCACCTAGTGTTGCACATATATAAATAGGCTTGGATTTTGCAAGAAAGGTAGGTACCTTAATCCCAGTGTCTAGATTCAATCTGGAAAAAAGTCACCAATGGACTCAAATACCAGCGCTTGATAAGGGGCTTTTGAGGCCACAGAATTGAGGAGATGAGAAAGTTCAGACTCGGAAGGGTAAATGACTTGCCCAAAGTCACAGAACAGGCAGTAGCAACCGCATATTAATTAAATTTAGGTCTTTAAAAAAACAAAAACAAACCCTAAGGTCGTCTGACTTCCAAGCTGGTTTTCTTAGCCTAGAAGTCTGTATGTTCAAGCAGAGGGCCTATATCCAGCGTCGCCCCTTCCCTTATGGAAGGCAAAATTAGGATAGAGTTCAGTTTCTGTCGAACAGGCTTAGGGCTCGAGTAAGAGATCTGAGTCTGCAGTCGATGAATGACTGGGTCTGAGTCCTACTTTGGATTGGGAGTTCGAGTTCCCCTCCCGCCCTTCCCCTTCCCTCGGCGCACTCACATGCCACCCTGTGAATGACCCAGAAGGTGATGCCCACCTCCGCTAAGCAGAGGCAGGCGGCCACCAGCAGAGTGTAGCGCGGCTCCACCAGCAGCAGGTGCCGTTCATGCCAAGCGCGCCGCAACCATTGCTCGCAGCGACCCGCCGCCCGAGCTGCTGCACCAGCCCTGCCGCGTTTCCGCAACCCAGCCGCCATGTTGATGGTGCGCCGCCTGTGTGGGCCCGCCACCCAGGAAACTCGACCCTTGAGCATTTAAGTTCCGCTCCCTGATCAGCGTCCCGCCAGACAAAACTGAGTTGTCAGTCATTATTTACCTCATTAAAATAAAAAAATTCCACATGTCTTCCCTGACAGACTGCATGCTGTGTGTGAGAAAGAACCATGTCTTACTCTTTAGTACCTACCTAGCCCTGGGCACGTTATGGAATGAACATTTACCCAAAAAACAACATCCCTGCTCCTCCTCGGCTCACCCAATTTAGCATCAAACTTCGCCTGTATTAGGAATACGAGTACGTGTTTACGCGGGACTCTCCGGGAGAACAAGGGCCGTGTTTGCAACCCCCTCGCCTTTCCTCAGAGCTTTCCGGGTGCTCACTTAAACGATTTGGAAAGAAACTAATTAGTTTATTAGTTTTCCAACGTTTTAATAGAAGGTGACAGTCAAATTAAAAATATTAGAGGGCAGTGACGCGCCCCTAAGTCTGACACCAAGAATGTGGCCCTCAAAGGGGAGTAGACAGTCTGGAAGATCTCATATTTCAAGCCGGAAGATTCTTATAAGAGCGCTCAACAGACGACGGAAGTTCCACGTGTTTGTGTTGAGCAACTGCAGGTGGTTAGCAAGGGTCACCGAGCCCCCGCCCACACACCCTACCCACTGATCAACCACTTAAGGGCGCCAAGCTCCGCCCAAGGGAGCCTGCCCGGTGTACCGCAGGCCTTGCTGGCCTTATGCTGCGAACATGACGTCTCCCCGGGTCCCGCCGTCTCTTCCGGAGTTACCGGAGCGGAATGATGGATACTGCGAGGTCCAATACTGGGACCAGCGCTACCGGAACGCTGCCAACTCTGCTCCCTACGAGTGGTTCGGAGACTTCTCCTCCTTCCGTGCCCTTCTGGAGTCAGAGCTGCGACCAGAGGACCGGATCCTCGTGCTAGGTGGGTAGCTCCGGGGTGCAATTGACTGGATCGCCCACCTTCCTCCTGCCAGCCCCAGTCTGAAGCCAAGATCCTGGCCAGGGCAAACAGGAACCAAGAGATTCTCAGTCTGCCCCTCTCACCCGGCTAGGAACTCTGGGGCTGAGTGTGATCTGGGACTCAGTTCCGGACCCTCAGGAGGCAGCCTCAGGCCCTGGAAAGCTCGGGAGACCTGATGCAAGTCCCAATGCTAGTAGTTTGTATGATTTAGGACAAGTCCTGAACCCGTTCTGAGCTTCATATCTTCATCTGTAAAATGAGACTGCGAAATCAAGATCGATAAGGCACGTGCACACACCTCAAGCATAAAACCTAGAGGTTTTTCTTTTGTACTTTTGGGATCCAAGAGCCAGTGTCACTTAGAGTTATCATCTCTCCACTCGACAAACCCTGGCACTAGGTCCTTTGCTCTGTGTATTCTGAGGGGAGAGCAGCGCCTTCTGTGGCCAGAAGGGATAGTGCAGCCGAAATTGGCGCGATTCCCCAGAGGAAAGAAATGTGCGGATTGGAGGCGTGTCTCTGAAGTCCAGTCGCTCCCTCGGGGTTCTTTCTTACTGTCAGCCTTGGAGTCTCCAGTGATGTTTGATTGTGCAACAGGTTTCCTTTCAATTATAGTTCTTCTATATTTTCCCCTTTCAAAACCGTTGTTATTGTTGTTATGTGCCATCGAGTTGGGTCCGACCCATAGCGACCCTGTACAGGGTTTCCGAGGGTGTAAATCTTTACGGGAGTAGAAAGCCTCATCTTTCTCCCGCGGAGCAGCTGGTAGTTTCGAACCCCTGACCTTAAGGTTCGCAGCCCGATTCGTAACCACTACGCTACCAGAGCTCCTTTCAAAGCCGTAGGATTTCCCAAAGCTGTAAATCTTTACGGGAGCAGAAAGCCTCATCTTTATCCCTCGGAGCCGCGGTGGATTTGAACTATCCACCTTGCAGTTAGCAGTTCAGTGTTTATCATACAAAGCCGTACCAGGACTCATATGTATAGATATAGATATAGATAGATGTTGTTAAGTGCCGTTGAGTCAGTATTTGTTGATGTTATGTGCTGTGGTATTTCATAAATATAAAACATATATAATGAAGTGTGTATGTAAGGTATAAATAATAAATCTAATAATATGTATACCCTACTCAATTTAGAAAATGGAACATTTCTAGTATTAAAGAGGAAGTGAATCTACTGGTTAATCTAGTGGTTGAGAATTTGGCCTCTGGAGGCAGCTAATTATGTTGGAATCTTGGCTCTGCTGACACTAGTTGTGTTATCCTGAACAAAATACTTAAATATCTGTAAAGATATTAAAGGATTTATGAGGTAAGATGATTACATGAGAATGAGAGAAACCGAGAACAATGCCAGGCAAATACAAAGGTTTCAGCCTGAAGAGTCACAGGTTTAGACTGTTAGAAGGAAATACACATTAAAACCTGAGGGATACACAGGAAATGGTAAGGGGATCTGGCAGAGCACTGAGTGGTGGTATGGGAGTGCCTTCTGACTCCAGAGCTTCTTCCTCTCTGGTTAAACCATGAAGATGGGTATAGACAACACAGAGGGGCTTCTAGAACTCTGGTAAAAATCATCACATTGATATAACTTAAGACAGAATGTCACCACTGAAGATGGGTGAGCCTCTTGAAGACTGGAGACTATTTGTTGTTGGTAAGTGCTGTTGAGTTGGTTCCAACTCACAGCAACCTTGTAAAGGGTTTCTAAGGAGAGGCTGGTGGGTTTGAACCACTGACCTTGCAATTAGCAATCCATTTGCTTATCCTATAGTGTTACACCAGGAGGCAGTTTAGCATAAGTGGTTTAAGGTCTCTGGTTCTGGAGTTAGACAGGCCTGGCCCGCACCCAAATGATCATGTGACTTGGAGAAAGGTCTTTTTGCACTTAGAGCAGCTTCAGTTTTCCCACATAGTTAATGGAAATGGTAATAATAATGTAGTTGGAGCCATTGTTAGTGAAAAAGAGGGGCTGCAACAATGGGCTCCATCATAGCAACGATTATGAGGATGGTGCAGAACTGGGCAGTATTTTGTTCTTTTGTTATGTGGGGTCGCTATGAGTTAGAACCAACTAGACTGCACCTAACAACAACAGCTATGAAAATAAACTAAAATGCTTGCCATAGGAACTGGTGCTCATTGACTATTACTGAAACTAGGAGTCAGACAGTTTATTCAGGACTGTTCAGAGGACAGAGTGTCCTGCCTATGGCTAAAATACCCTCGTGGCAAGGGAATGCATCTGAGTGGTACTACTTCACTGTCATTACACTTCTGTGATTCTCCCTCCTTGTTTAGTTCTGTACTTCAAAGAAGTCTTCTGATCATAATTTTAATTCTCATTTAGATTTCCTTTAGGAGAGCTTGGAGTCCTGGGGTGGCCCTGGAGGATAAGCACTGGACTGCAAAATCAGTTTGAACTACGAGGTCAGTGGTTCAAACTCACCAACTGCTCCTCTGAAACCCTACACAGGGTCGCTGTGAGTCAGAAACAACTTGACAGCACTTAACAACAACAATAGGGAGATCTTGGAGTCCTGGTATGGCGCTGTAGGATAAGCATTGAGCTGTTAACTACAACATCAGCAGTTCAAATTCACCAGCTTCTCCTTGGAAACCTTATAAAGGGTCACCATGATTCGGAACCAACCCAGCAGCACTTAACGACTTAGGGAAAGCAGGAACTGACTGGATAATTCAACTGCCCAGTCACCATTCTGGTTATTTCACAGTCATAAATTAGTGAACTAGCATTCTAGCTTCTACTTCAGTCTCTTGGTATTGGGTTGTTGTTGTTAAGTGTCATTGAGTTAGTTCCAAATCATGTATAGGGTTTCTCAAGAGCTTCTGGTAGATTTGAACCACTGACCTTATGGTTAGCAGTCTTGTGCTTATCCTACAGCGCCACACCATGACTCCTGGTATTGGGTTAGCATCTATATATCTTTAGGCCCCATCTGATGAGTTCTTGGGCTCTGGACCAATTCTTTAGGGCCTTAGGGAGGCAATGTCCTTTCTAAGACCCATCTTAGTTGATCATTGTTAATCACTGAGGCAGCAGAGCCAGAAATTGCTGATTTATGAGCATGATTGGCCCTGTGGTCTGGTTTTGTTCTCCCTTCATTTTTGGTAAAGTTCTCTTGGAAGATGCCATTCTGTACCAAGGGGGAAAAAGAGAGATCTGGAGTTGTCTATAATTGGTCAGAGCTCTGAAGGCATGTGAGGTCAGGTGTGGGGATGATAAATAGATTGCAGATCAGAGAATGCAATGGGATTTCAGCCTGATACTAAGTTAGTTAGGGTTTTCTGGGCAGCCATTCCCCACCCCTGGGGAGCTCTGATAGCATAGTGGTTACAAATCAGGCTGCGAACCGCAAGGTCAGCAGTTCGAATGAGGCGTTCTGCTCCCGTAAAGATTTACAGCCTTGGAAACCCTGTACAGGGTCGCTATGAGTCGGAACCGACTCCACGGCACACAACTACCACGCCACCACTCCCCACCCCAGCCCCATGTGGTATATCCACCAGAGTTTATTGTGGTTCTAATGTGGAGAAGCACATGTTGTCTTTTTCCCAGAGGAGATTGTCCTCTTCTGAACCCCAGGGCCTGAGGAGGAACATGAGAAGGAGCAGCTGAAGACTGGTCAGTTGCCTCTAAGTGCCCTGTCCAGGTTCCAAACCCTGCTAGATTAAGGCTATCCTGCAGCTGATCCTGTGATCCTCTTAGAAAGGCAAATAGAGATTAAAGGCAACCTAATCCCCAAAGCTGGGGATCCCTACGTGAAACCCACAAAAGCTATCATCTAGTCCTATTCTCAGGCTGAAACTGGCCACAGGGGGACCTGAAAGAGGCCAAAGATCTAAGGAGGTCATGCTTATTGAGCTATGGATTCACATCTACCCCTTGAACCTCCACATCTTCTCTAAACTGACACTGCCCTCTTTAGAACTGCTTTCCAGGTACTTCCTGCCGTAATGTGTGATTTTTCAAGCTGGCTTGCTTGTCGACTTTCCTGAAACCTTTGTTCTTCGTCCTTGGTTCCTGGGGGATAACCACTAAGCCCTTGGGATTTCCTCAATAATTTGGTTTACTCTAATGAAGTAACTCTTGGATCAGGGCTGGTTATGCCAGAAGATCCGCCAGGTGACAGCAGTCTGATCTCAGGGGATAGAGGCTAGAGGTTGAGCTCAACCACAAATGCCGTGAGTGATTAAATCAATTGTGCCTATGTATTGAAAACCCCAAGGAAAACTCTGGACACTGCGGCTTGTGGACCTTCCTGGTTGGTGAAAGCCATCAATGCTCAGGAGAATGGAACACCTCTTGGGACATGGAAGCTTCACGTTAGGGGATCCTTCCAGACCTCACTTTTTGTATCCCTTTCTATGTATCCTTTTGGCTATAACAAAACTGCAGCCATAGATATAGCACTTTCCTAAATTCTGTCAGTCATTGTAGCAAATTATTGAATACAAAGGAAAAGTACGAACACTGAATTTGTAACCAGTAGGTCCTAAGTGAAGAAGGCCTGGGACAACCCCCAAGCTTACAACCGATGTCTTAAGTGGGAACCCTGAAATTTGTGGCCAGCAGGTCATAAGTGAAGGCCTCATGAGAATCCCTCATCTTGAGGCTGGTATCTGAAGTCGTTGGTAGACTTGGCAGTCTAGATAGATTGCTGTCCCTTTTAACTTGTGAGATCTGAACTAGCTCTAGTGGTTAGAGTCAGAAGAAATGCATTTGTAGTTGGTATCAGAGAAGATATTTAAGAGTATGTATCAGGAGAAGACACAGTCACAAACACAGACTTTCTTGTAGCCTACTGTGTAGTAGTCACCAAATGAATTAAAAGGGATTATCAGTTATTAAAGAATGATCGATTCCACTGTGTGTCCTTTCCTGGTTTCCTCTTCACTTCTTATCTCTGCCTTCTGTCAGCAGAGATAACCTGAGAAGCACTAGGGTGATATTGATATTATTCTAATAATAATATGCTGGTATTAAGTGCCTTCAAGCCGGTTCTGACTCATAGCAACCCTGTATAGGGTATCCAAAGAGCAGCTGGTGGGTTTGAACCACCAACATTGTGGTTAGCAGTGCTTATTCTACGCTGCCACATTAGGACTTCAGTGATAATAGCACGATAGTAATATTAAATATGCCCTTGTGGCACAATGATTAAGCACTCAGCTACGAACCAAAAGTCAGTGGTTCAAACTTACCAGCCGCTCTGTGGAAGAAAAGATCTGGCAATGTGCTCTCATACAAACTGCAGCCTAGGAAACCTTATGGAGAAAGATGGCACACAACCATAAAAGCAGCTAATATTATTATCCTAATAATACCAATATTCTCCCCATTCTGAGTCTTAGGAAACTTGTGTCTCAAAATACTGAATGATTTGCATGGCCATGTGACTAGGGATAGCAGAACCCAGATCTTTGGACTCCTAAGTTCAGAGCTCCAACTACTCCCCAGCTGTTAAGTCCTTTAGTGCACCACCTCCTGCGTGTGAGCAAAGTATTGTTATCTTCCTTTTTCTGCATAGGAAATCCAAATTTTGAGTATTCAAACAATTTGCCCTAGTTCAAGCAGCTAGGAAAAGTGCAGCCAGGATTTTAGTCCATATATATGTGACTCCAAAGCTCGAGCTCTCTCCTCTACTACACAGCTTCACCTTCAGTGCTAGAGAGTTTGGACTTAGAGAAAATGGAGCCAACAATGGATGGATACTCAGGAGGAGATAAGAACCCAAACTAACTCAGTCCTTCTGCCACCCCACTCCTTTCTCACCCTCAGGCTGTGGGAACAGTGCCCTGAGCTATGAACTATTCCTCGGAGGCTTCCCTGATGTGACTAGTGTGGACTACTCATCAGTAGTGGTGGCCGCCATGAGGGCTCGCTATGCCCATGTGCCCAAGCTGCGCTGGGAGACCATGGATGTACGGGCACTGGACTTCCCCAGTGGTTCCTTCGACGTGGTGCTTGAGAAGGGCACACTAGATGCCTTGCTGGCTGGGGAACGGGATCCCTGGACGGTGTCCTCTGAAGGTGTCCACACTTTGGACCAGGTGCTAAGTGAGGTGAGGGAGCAACAAAAAGGAAGGCAGACCAAGAAGTGGGAATGAAGTGTTGAGGTGTCAGAAGATTGGAACTCAGAAGCCAGAAGGGGGCATGGTTTGGACCAAGTGGTGGGCCATTCTCATGAATGTGGGTCCTGGAAGAAAGAAGAGAGTTCATCTGGCTCAAGATTGGAGGGGACTAGAGGGCTATGCTCACATAGGCTGATGATTGGCTCCTCGGTTGCTATAGGGATGAGGCAGCAACCAGGTATTAAACAGGTGACACAGGCTGAGAGGGTAAGCATTTACACAGACTCTAATGCTCCTACATATCTAGAATATAGCCCTCTTTCCATGGACTGGCCAGGGAGCAGGGGAAAGGGGCTCACTCTATTCCCAGAGAAAGCACAGAGCTTCCTGATATAGGATGATAGTGCTTGAAGTTTGGCTGAGAGGATATCTGGGCCCATACTTACCTGAGGACCAACAGATGGCTTCTTCACTGACAGCTTCATTGTTCTCCTTGCAGGTGAGCCGCGTGCTGGTTCCTGGAGGCCGGTTCATCTCACTGACGTCTGCTGCCCCTCATTTTCGGACTAGGCACTATGCCCAAGCTCGTTATGACTGGTCCCTGAGGCATACAACCTATGGCAACGGTTTCCATTTCTATCTCTACCTCATGCACAAGGGTGGGGAGCTAAGTGTGGCACAGATGGCTGTGGGAGCACAGATCTTCTCACCCCCCAGTCTCCTAACCTCACCTTGTTTCCTCCAAGACTCAGATCATGAAGACTTCCTCAGTGCCATTCAGCTGTGAGGCCAGAATCATAATCCTCCAGCCCTCCCTGCCTTTCTGCGCTAGACTTCTTGGGTTGTTGGAATTCCTGACTTTAGGACTTGGGGTTGGATTCAAGGTGCTCAAATCTCAAGGGCCTCAGGCCTCATAAAAGTCCATGTGAACCAATATATCTCAGGTCAAGCTTCTGTTTTCCTTCTTAGGTTCCTCAGTTTTCTCCTAGATTCTCCAAACACCTTCCCCCAAATTCTTCACCCACCAATGATTTATCCTCTGGGGCAAAGATCAGCACAGCTCTTCTGCATACCAGTCTAGAAGACCCACTTTCTTGGGGTCTATTACCACATCCAATTGATAGTAATACACAAGAGGCTGTAGACTTTGAATCTAGATAGCATTATGCTGTTGTCCTAGCCCCAGCTCCATTGACATGTCCTGCTTAGATTGTACTGGCACCTTCTTTGGGAACCCTCCTCAGCCAGCATCATGCACCTGAAATCCCCAAATATCTGTTCCCTTCCCCCCTCCCAAAAAAGGGGGGCAGTTTTGCCTGAATCCTGAGCAGACAGAAACAGCTGCCACACACACAGGGAGGTCTGTGTTTATTCACACACTCCTGGTACAGTGAGGATGAAGGAACATGTACAAAGGACACCCTATGTTAAGAACATCTCCAGGGCCATAGGTGTCATCCGTAGGTACAGAGCAGTCCCAATTTGGGTCCCCAGGGACAGGACACAGGGGTCCAAGGTAAAATCAAGTCTGGGCCTGTGGAAGATGATACCTTGTGGGGGGGAAGTCTGCGAGAGCCATCTGGGGTCTGGCCTGGGCAGACTGGTCATGTGGTTGGTTATCATGTTGGGGACTTGTCCCACCCCAGCCTCAACACCTATCTATCTGCCAGGCGCAGAAGAGCGAGACTGAGACCTTTGGGGGAGGGCACAAACCATGAGCGGAGCCAGTAAACAAAGAGTCGGATATAAAAATACAAATGTGCTGAGGAAGTCCCTTAGAAAGAGGCTGAGGATGGGGTAACGTCAGACTGGGGTGGAGGTGAGGAGCGGCCCTGAGGGCTGGGCTCGGGTGGGAAGCTCATGCAAATACGCAGCCAAACATCCCTGGCCGCGCACGCGGTCCGACGCCAGCCGATCGCCTGGTCTGCAGACCAGAGCTACCGGAGGGGGGCGGGGCAGGGGAGCCGTGCGGGAGGGGGTGGGCCGGGGGCTTGGGGCCGCGGATCTCCGTGTCCGTTCCAGTGTGCGGGGTGGGGCTGCGGCCCGAGGTTCTAAAGTGCATGAACGCGGCAGCGGGCTTCAGGCCGGCCCGTGCCGCTGCTATCGCCGCCGCCGTGGTGCTGAAGAGGACAGCTCCGGAGTGACTGGCGGCGGCAACAACATCGACCCGGCGGCGGCAGCGCGGCCCTGAAGCCCCCGCCCGCGGGCGCCTGGGCCGGGGCGGGTGTCGCCGGCAGCCGCATCACCGGCCCGCGCTCCTGGCCGCTGCGGGGCTGGGCCCGGAGCCCGCCGCCCGAGCCGGCACGTCTACACTCCGGACGGTGGCTTCTCCCCCATCCCCTTCAGAACGTCGTCTATCCGGTCATCCTCGATCACCACTGCGCAGGGAGAAAGCGCGTCAGCCGCGCGGCCTCGGGGGGCGGTGGCGAGAGTGGACCCTGCATCCTCGCACCCCCGCGCAGCTTCGGCCGGTGTCCCATAGATGCCCCTTGGGCCCCGTGCCATGGAATGCCCTCCCCATACCGACTCTCCAGCAGACTCAGTCTACCAGGCCTCACTCCCACAGACCCTCGCCAGTGTCTATGACGGAACGCCCCACTATCAAAGGCCATTCAACCTCCCAATCCAAATGCTCCTTGCCGCCTGAACCCTGCGCCATCTGAGCTCAACAAAAACCTTTTGCTATGAGACTCCCCCTCCTTCGACCCTCATTTCAAGAAAAACCCCTCATCACCTGCGAGTAAACTAAATCTGCAGCCAGTCCAACCCTCTCCCTATCCTATTCTTGCCGCTTGAACCCCTTCTTAGATCTTGGAACTAACAGAGCCCCTACCCACTCAAACAACCAGGACAACCGAATCCCAGCCTCCCTGCCCTCTCTCCAGTCGGACACTTCTCTGGACCCGAAGGAACCTTCGTTAGCATCCCCAGACTTAGTGTTTGATCTGAAAGAACCGGCCAGTCACCCTGCATCCCCGCTTCCAAGCAGCCCAAATGCCCCACCGGCCCCTCCCCCTCGCCCTGGTCCCAAGGCTCGGCTTCCAGAGGTGGCGAGCATTGAATCCGGGGCACTGCGTTCCCAGGAGAGGGTAAGAGAGGGACACACACAACACTGCAGCGGGGACACCCCCCCACCCCCCATGCCCGGGCCGGAGAAGCAGCTGGATGCGCTGGGCTGCGGCAGGAGTTGCGGGCGCTCGGCGGGGACGGCAGGCATGAGATACCCAGAGGAAGGTTTCTGGGTCAGGCGGCGACTCCGGACCCTGGTCCCGTACCTCGCTTGGCTCGGCCGATCTGGCCCAGCTTAGGGGGTCGTTTGGCCTGGTTGCCCGCGAAGAAAGAGTTGGTGTCCTGCAGGCGGCAGCTGAAGGAGAGGTCGGAACCCTCGGGATCGGCGCCGAAGCGGCCCATCTTGTCCTCGCTATAGGGCAGGATCTCGGACATGTTGGGCGCGGGGCGGGCGCTGGACTGCGGCGGGCGGCGGGCTAGGTGCCGAACCGGCCCTAGCTCAGCGGGGGAGCCGGCGGAAGGATGAAGTCATGCAGCATCCGGGGCTGCGGAGCCAAGCGCGGCCTCCTCCCCCGCGCCTCCGCCTCCCGGGCCGCTGGGCAGGCGGCGGCGGCAAGGACCGGGCGGGGGCGGGGGCGTTGTGCGGGGGGCGGGGGTGGTGGCGGCGGCAAGAGCGGAATGACGATGAGCGCCCGACTGCGGCAGAGCGCGGCCAGGGGGGCGGGGCTAGCTCAGGCCAGCGGGAGAGGCGGAGCCGGGGGCCGAAGCGGGCTTCGCTCTCTGTGGAGGGGAGGGGCTGCAAGGGTAGGGTCCCTCACAATGGCGGGAATGGCTGACTCGGGGACTGGGGGACCCATACTAGCTAGTGGAGGCGGGCTCTGGCAGACAAAGGGGGACAGGAGTGAGCCTTGCCCCCGAGGGACAGGGGGAGTGTCAGGCACTGAGACTAGAACCAGCGAGCGAGGGGAACCTACAATGGAGACTAGGAGTTGGGGGTGTGAAGCAGGAAGGCGGGAACACGGGAAACTAAGTGGTGGAGGAGCCGTACACTGAGCGAACCCTCAGAACGCGGGAAGAGCTCAAACCAGTCATCCTCCAGCAGTTGGCGAGCTCTTGAATCCACCAGTTCTGCTTGTCTTAAACTTCGGGGTTCTGTGTGTCTCTGTCTCATCAATATGTGTCTGACTGTCTCCTGTCTGTGTCCCATATCTTTTTCTGTGTGTCGTGGTCTTTGCCTACGTCTGTCCCTTATATTTCTGCCTCTCTGTTTTTCGGTCTCCAAGCTTGACCCCAGTATATATGTGTCACTGTGTCTCTATCTCCTGAGTATCAGTGTATCTCTTTCTTTCCTGGGGCGGGCGGGGTCCCCGGGGTCCCCATAACTGGACCCTCGTAGCCGGTACCAGTACAGGCCTCCCCAGCTACTGGCCCCGCAAGTAGGGCTGAAGGTGCCCAACACGCGCACCTCCCTGGGCCCGGAAGAACCGTGCCGCCAATGCAGTGTTGTTGTTATTGTTGTTATTGCTAAGTGCCGTGGAGTCGGTTCCGACTCATAGCAACGTAGGAGGACTGAATGGTTGCGTCGCGAGGAGCGCCCTAGCTGTAGGTGACGCGGGGAAGCCTGGAGCGCCTGAGGACGCTCGGCGCGCGCGGGTATGTATCGGAAGACAGCCCCACTTCCCCGCCCGGGTTGCAGGAATCACGTGACGGTCAGCTACGCATCCACAAGAACACACCCTCTTCTCCCTCCCCGCCTTCAGCCCCCACCTCTTCAAACACCCCCTCACACTATCCGTCAGTGGCAGCGTCACCTGCTTTCGAGCGCACAGGGCTCTGGCTCTGGCGCAATCTCTGGCCTTGTGGGGGGAGGGGGAAGAGTGTCTTTCACACTGGGCGATAGTGACCATAAGGCTGATGAAGATAATAATCACCTTGTCCACCCAGTCTACACCTTAGGAAGGGTCTCCACTGTCCCTAGAGTGTTTTCCTCACATCTTCCTGCTAAATTATACCACTAGGGAAGTTGCCTAGGCTCTAACCTGGTGGTCTGACTCAGGCCTGCACTGAGTCTCCTTCTAACACTCTTCGCTGTGAGGTCCAGAAACACAGAGGTTTGAGGCGAATGCTGTAGTGGCTGTCCTCAGGGAACTGGAGGAGTGCTAGTCACACCTTCCTTCATGTCTCAGTCACTGGGATGAAATTGGAAGAGAGACAAGATTCTGGGCTGCTAAGAAAGAGTCCAGAAAATTACACACACATACTCCAGGGGGCTCCCTGGAAGTTGTCCAGCAATGGATTCCAAGACTGGCTGTGCTACCTACTGTGTGACCTTGAACTGGGAGCCCATGATTATGATTTTTTAAAAATTCATTTGTGCTTGTAAATTCTAAGGAGAATATGAAAAAACCATGCTACACCTTCACTAGATATACTTCCTGTCTTTTTTCTTTGTGTTTACATAGTATACATATGGTTCTGAGCCTCCATGTTCTTATCTGAAGCATGTTGTTGTTAGGTGCCTTCTGACTCATGGTGACTCTATGCAAAACAGAATCAAACACTGGCCAGTCTGTGATATCTTTAGAATTGTTTGAACCTATTGCTGCTGCCACTGTACCAGTCCATCTCGTTGAGGGTTTTTCTCTTGTTGGATGACCCTCTACTTTAACAAGCATGATGTCCTTCTCCAAGGACTGGACCATCTGATAACTTCAAAGAATGAGAGGCGGAAGTCTCACCATCTTGGTGTCTAAAGAACATTCTGGCTATACTTTTTCCAACATAGCTTTGTTTGTTCTTTTGGCAGTTCATGGTACTTTTTATATTCTCCTTCAATAATAACTCAAATGCATCAATTCTTTTCCAGTCTTCATTATTCATTGTCCAACTTTCACATACATATGAGGCTATTGAAAATACCATGGCTTGGGTCAGGTGCATCTTAGTCCTCACACTGACATCTTTGCTCTTAAACAATTTAAAGAGAACCTGTGCAGCAGATTTGTCTAATGCAATATGTCATTTGGTTTCTTGACTGCTGCTTCTATGAATTTGATAGTGGATCCAATCAAAATAAAGTCTTTGATGACTTCAATCTTTTCTCTAATTATCATGTGGTCCAGTGGTGACAGTTGTTTTCTTTACGTTGAGGAGTAACCTATTCTGAAGGCTGTGATCATTGATCTTCATCAGTAAGTACTTCATGTCCTCTTCACTTTCAGTAAGCAAGGTTGTATATTCTGCATATGGTGACAGACTATGTACTGATTTTAAACCAGTTAGTGTCCCCTTGTTCTGTCTAAACGACTGCCTCTTGGTCTATGTAATGGTCCTCACAAGCACAATTAAGTGATCTGGAATACACATTCTTCACAATGTTATGCATAGTTTGCAAGGATCCACACAGTCAAAAGCCTTTGCATAGTCAATAAAGCACAAATAAACGTATGTCTGGTAATCTTAGCTTTCAGCGAGATCCATCTGATGTCAGCAATGATATCCCTGGTTCCACATGGTAATGGCTAGATTTTTGTGTGATTTCTGTTACTTTTCTGAGGACTATTTTTATTAATGGCTGGAGGCTGCTACTGATCTGGACAAGACAGAGAAGATAAATAAGGTTCCTGCTGTTCCAGAGACCCTTAAGAAAAAGCGAAGGAATTTTGCAGAACAAAGATCAAGCGCCTGAGAAAGAAATTTGCCCAAATGATGCTTCCAAAAGCAAGGAGGAAACTTATCTATGAAAAAGCCCAACACTTCAGAGATCAGCTCAAGAAGATAAGCCAAATATTACAACAAAATGTGCAAAGATCTGGAATTAGAAAACCTAAAAGGAAGAATATGTTCAGCATTTCTCAAGCTGAGGGAACTTAAGAAAAAATTCAAGCCTCGACTTTCGTTATTGAAAGATTATCTGGGCAAATTATTGAATGATGCAGAAAGCAACAAGAGAAGATGGAATGAAAGAAGGTAAACACAGAGGAACAGAGCCAGGTGGTGGGAAGGTCAGATAGATTACAGGATAAAATAGACTGTCTTAAATGGAGGGAAGAATTAATGGAATATAAGGTAACCACAACAATGGGGTTGGGGTGGGGGTTTTTGATTGGGTGTTGGGGAGGGCAATACAAGAAGGGGGAGGAGGTGGAAGAACAAGATAGAGGAACACTGAGATAGGTGTGCAAGTCCTAAGTGAGGCAGAGGTAAATAGTGATACATGCTGAACCTTGGAACAATAGGGCTCTGGGATACAGGGATCTATGTATAGTATGAAGAGAAGAAATAATACTAAAATGCTTGACTGCCTTATGAATATTAGTTTCCATTTCCTACTATTGTAAAATAGACACTTGAGTGGGATAGAAAGGAATGTTGGGAAACATGATTAGAGAAAACTTGTAAGCCTGTCTTCAGCCTGTAACTGATTGGAATACCTAAATGGGGGTTTTGAACTTGCCCAGTGAAATAGGCCTCTTGCAAAGCCTTTGCAGGGTATAGGACCTTAGGTGTAATCCTGAGTCTCATACAGAAGCTTCGAAGGTGGGACATTCCCACTAGCAAGGACAAGCAGACCAGCCTGGAACAGCTACAGTGACAGAAGATAAATCTTCAAAGAAAGATCATCAGGAAAAACCCAAAACAAAAATGTCAGCATGATTGGCTACTACAAGAAAAAGCAAGCTGTTCATCAGGAAGCCATCAAGGCAAGCAATCAAGTTACTTCAGGACAAATTCCCCTCTAAGACTGAAACTCAAAGGGAACACACAAACAAGCATGTAAGCTTGCTGGTGACCACATTGATCTACTGGTGAGTGGAAGAGAGTAAAAGGCAGCAATGAAGAAATGGGCTGAGTTCAATGACAGTCTATTGACTCCCACTGACCTGGAGATGAGAGAGAAAAGAGGAAGGACTGGTTGGTCCAAAGTGTGGTGAGTCCTGAGGACATTTGAGCCCATGGACAAGGACATCGCCACAGAGGACTAGAGCTGAGAGTGAAACATCCAGCTGATATGAAGTGAGGGGAGATGCACAAGAACACCCAAACTTGCAGACAGTACCTATTTGACCTAGCCTCGATGGCTCAATAACCAGAACTCACTTGACTAGAGGAAGATGACCAAAAAAAATTTTTTTTGGATAAAGGAAACAAGGGTAAATTGCTACAATTTGATGAACCTGAGCTATACTCAGAGAGGTAGTTACTCTAAATACCAAAAGACAGAGAAGGCGTCTTCACATCAAGTATCAATGCTATCCCCTCCGTACACAGGGTAGATAGCGATGGGCAACTTAGACACTGGCTACCTAAAATGAGAGGACAATAAAGGCATGAACTGACTGGCTTACAAAGTTTCAAGAGGGAGTTTAGTTTAAGAGAATAGGGGGAAAGAAAGAGCCCCCGCTGAATAGATTTCATTTTGTCTAGATGGGTCTGGTGAAAAGAGATGAGGATAAGATTTGTATGATTCAATAGTGAATAATTGTTATCATGACTAATTGCAACTGTCACAATTGTAAAGGTAGAAGTTTT